GCCCGCGACCCCCGGCCTCCCGGCATGGGCGCCCCTGCGGTGCGGAGCAGCTCCCCGCCGGCTGGTGCGCGACCGCGGAAGGCGGGGGTGCAGAGGCGAGCAGAGCTCGGCGGGCCAGGTGAGGGGGGGTTGGGTGGGGAGGGGAGGGGGCCCCCGGGAGAGGCCCAGGAAGGATGGGGTCTCCGCGTAGGCAGTGGGGTGGGCCGGGAGCCACGCTGGGCGTCCTGCTGGGGATCGGGGCTGTGTTGGGTGCGGGGAGGGAAGGACTGGATTCCCAGAGGAGCCTGCTCGCTCAGAGTCAGCCCCCGAGTGCGGCGGCCAAGGCTTTCTCTCCCCGGCCCGCCAAGGGTGGGGTTTGGCCCGCGAGGGGCGCTGGAGGTGGCCAGGCAGGAGAAATTCCTTCCATTTCCCCGCCGGCTGCGGGGAATGGGTTCCAGGAGTTCGGGAGGGGAGGGACCAGACTCGCCCTGTGCAATCCCTTCTTGGGATTGAATGAAGAAATCGAGCCAGGAGAGGGTCTCGTAGAGTCAGGAACGGACCTGGGATTAGAAATGCTGCAGAAGTGGCATTTACAGTGAAGCCTTAATTTGGATCGGGGGCTAGTTAGTGTTCGGGCATGCTGGGAAAAGGAAGGCTGGGCAGAGGTAGGTGTCTTCGTTACAGTTGTGCCCAAAGGGTGCTGATGGATTAGGGGGCTGATAACAGCCTGGACAGGGGCTTCAGTGGCGGCTGCCACCGTGGTCCTACACCCACTCCAAGTGAATGTTTAGATCAGTGACTTGAATGAAAACTTAAAAGGGAAGCCGGCTGACTCTTTGTAAAGGCCTAGAGCCAAGGGGAATGACAGGATAAAATCAAGATTCCAAATGATGGCAGCCAGGCAGAAGGATGGACCAAGATGAACAAGATGAACAAGATGAATGTGACTGATTATAAATGTTGGGGCCTGTGTTGGAGTGAGGAAAATTAGCTCAGGAGTTCAGGCCTAGGGGCGTCTGGGTGGCTCAGTCGGTTAAGCGTCTGCCTTCTGCTCAGGTCATGATCCCAGCGTCCTGGGATCGAGCCCCACGTCGGGCTCCCTGCTCAGTGGAGAGTCTGCTTCTCCCTCTCCCTCTGCCTGCCTCTCTGCCTACTTGTGTTCTCTCTGTCAAATAAATAAATAAAATCTTAAAAAAAAAAAAAAAAAAGGGAGTTCAGGCCTAGTGCCTGGCTCTAAGGCGCAGAACCCAGGGCCCGGAGCTTCCCACTTGCTTTCTGGTGTTAGCTGCCAAACTGCTCCATGCAATCTGAGATCTCTACCCACTAGAGGAGTCTAGGAGGGGAAGAGGGATGTCTGGCCCGGGGCTCCCTGGTCGGGCCCCCTGGGTCCTAATCCTGGCTTTGCCACTTCCTAGCTGTGTGACCTTCAGCAAGTTGCTTAGCATTTCTGTGCCTTAGTTTCCCCATCGGTAAAATGTTCATTATAGTAACCTCTTCCTCATAGTGTTGTGAGGCTGCAATGAGAAAGTGCATGTAAAGTGCTTAGTAATGTATCTAGCACCTGGTGTTCAGTAAATATCATCTGTTGTTATTATGCCCATTTCTGGTTGGGGACTTGGCCAATGCAGAGCTTACATCCAGGAAGGCATTGGGGCTGCAGAGGGTCTGCCAGCCATGTCCTGTGGTGAGGAGGAGTGTAGTTAAGAGAGGACAAATACTTGATAGGAAGGAGGGGAAGGAGGTTTCCGGTGGGCCCAGGCAGAGCTGGGATCCAGGCCTGGGGCTCTTGGAGTCAGGGTTGTAGCTCAGCATAGGGATGAACCCTCAGACTTTGGATCTGCCCTCCAATGGAAGGGCCAGTTCCTTAGCTCCAGCATTCTCCCCACCTCCTTCCAAGCAGCTGGCTGGTCCTCTCAGCCCAGTTCTGATGCAGGCACGCGTGAGTCCACTTCTCCCACATTCCTCAAATACTTCCCGAGTACCTACTAGTGCTGAGCTCTGTTTGGGAGACCGAAGACTGCCGAGATTGAGACAGATGAGTGAACAGCATTAGTCCTGTGGAGCTAATAAAAATAGGTTAATAGGTGGTGGTGGCGGGGGTGTGTGTGGAGGCTCTCCAAGGAGGTGAAATGGGACTGGAAACCTGATTGCTGAGAAGAAGCTAACCATACAGACATGTTGGGCAATGACTTTCTTGGTAGAAGGAACAGTCAAAGCAGTGGTCTGCCGGGGGAAAGTAAGCCCATGTGCTTGGAGCACAGCAAGGGAGGGGGAGCGAGAGCGGGGTCCTGAGGTCTGGCCTGAGGTTCCCACGCCATTTAGGGGGCATCACACTTTTCTCCTCCAAGCCCCCTCGACCCTGGGTTCACCCTCTGCACAGTGCTGAGTGTAACTGACCTTGATTCATTCCCCCATCAGAACCTCCTGGGGCCCAGAGATGTAGGTTTGCTCCTTCTCAGATCTCCTGTGGTTCATGGCTCACTGCCTGGCTCACAGTAGGCCCTCAGTCAGTGCTCGCGGAGGGAATTTTGGTCTGAGACAGGAGAGGGGTTCTAAGATGTTATGAAGCACTTTCTGGGCATGACCTGGGTCGCCGACTCTGGCCCCTACTCTCAGAGACAGGAAGACCTGGGTGCTCAGGGCCGGCCTGACTGTGGTGGGAGGTGTTGGCCCTTCCTGCCCTTCCTCCTCAGTTGTGGACTGGTAGGGAGAAAAGGGAAGGTTGTGGAGGGGAGCGCGGGGCCTTACTGCGGACCTGTTTCTGGGGTATGGGAAGATGACAGTGTCGTTCTGGGAAGCAGGTGTAGCCCATGGGCTAGGGCAGGTCTGAAGCCTGATTTTGCCTTCTGTGAGGGGCTGGAAGCCCTCCGGGTATTCTAGACTTCTCCCTTCCCTTTCTCTCCTGCTTACTCCCTGCTCTCCATTACACCCACAGGAGCATGGGAGTGCTGGTAGCTGTGTAAGAGGAGAATCCAGGTACCATGGTCCAGAGTAGCTTCCATTAGCCCGTGGACCCTGGGGCAGAGGTCAGGAGGGCAAGGAAGCCCATCACCCACCCTCTGGGGCCCTCCTCCTCCTCCTTACTCCCTCTACCTCCCACCATGGGAACATCTGCTTCTCTTTCCCACACCTCATCTTGGCCTGTAGGGCACCTGGTCCTGCTCTCACTCTGGGGCTCAGTTGAGAGAGGAGAGGGCTGAATTAGGGTGGAAAAAGGGAAGGAGAGATGTGGGGTCTGGAGTACCCTGGCTGAAGGAGGCTTTGGCACTGGTGAGAGGTCGGACGAGAGCTTAACAAGGCTGGAAGGGTGGTGCTCACATTTGGCTCCGGAAGTGGAGGCCAGGTGCCCAGAAGTGGCTTGAAATAAAAACCAGGGTCTGGGGCTGGCTCTGATGTGTCCTCATTTAATTTCTCCTGATAATGGTAGTGCTATCATATATGTATCTGGCACTGTTCTATGTCCTTTACATGTATGAACTCATTTTAAGCCCCACCATATCTCTGTGGTTGTTAATTTCAGAGATGTCAATTACAGATTGTCATTTTCACAGTTGAGGAACATGAGGCACAGAGAGATTTTGTAACTTGCCCAAGATGACAAGTGACAGAGCCAGGATTTGAACACAGGCATCTGGATCCAGTGTCTGTGCCCTTAACCACTTCGCTTCAAGCTGGGTCTTCGTGTTTGGGGACTGGAGTGCCTTCACAGAGTATTTCTTGGGAGTCCCCATTGCTCTGGTTAGAAGGCTGAGCTGCCTGAAGATGGGGCGATTGAGCCCCTGCCCTGTGGGGTCCTCTGAGGCTTTAGGGGCCAAGTTGGAGCCTTCTAAGGAGAGAGGGGTATTTTGCCCTGTCCTCACAGTAGCTCCCTTTTCTCTGCCTACAAAATGCCCTTTTGTGCGCATCAGGGCCAAGTGCTGGACTGAAGCCCCCGCCCCGACAACCCAGGAGTGGGACAGGAGACTGAGGGGCTGGATGCTGGCATGTGTCTCTGTGGCCCTGAGATGGCCCAGATACTGTCAGCAGTTCCTGATCACGTCCCACATCCCCAAGAGCTGTTTGCCTGGGGTTCTGTGTGCCCCCAGGTTCTGCTGCCCAGCCAAGGGAAGTCCTTGGGCTGGCTTGTTGCTTCTCATGGCCTGGGTCCTGCCCCTGTTCCTACTCCTGTGTTTCCTGGCTGTGCTGCCTCCAGGGAATGTCCCTGCTGACTGGTTCCTCCGCACTCACACTGATTCTCCCTCTGTAGGCTTCCACCATGGACAGAAGCCAGCCCTGGTCCCTCTCTCGTGTCCCAGCTCCTTCTGCCAGGCCCTGGGGGCCCAAGGGATGGTTGACTGTTGTCCGAGGTCTGTTGGTTCATCCAGACTGGTAAGTGCTCTACTGTTGTCCTTTGTACACCTCTGTACACCTCTGGGGCCTTCAAGCAGGTCGGACTGGGGGGCAGAGGTGGGTGTGGAGCTGCCCTAAGCAGATGTGGTTTCAGGGACGGAGGGGGAAGCCCTGCAGAGGTGGCAGGTGAGGTGCTGCTCAACTTGGGGAGATCTGATTTCTTCAGTGATGGAGGTAATGTGGGGGTGGGGAAAGGGGACGCCTGGCTTTCTTAGCAGGATAGGCTGGGGGACTCTGGGCCTGGGGCGCATAGGCTGGTGTGGGAGGAGAGGGGCAAGGGTGTGGGTGAATGACTGCTGTTACCAAGGCAGCATATGTCTGGTGCTGATGGGGTGGGGCTGGATAGCTCAAGCAAGGCTGGGAGTATAGCGGGCCGGCAGAGGGGATGCGAAGTTGGCTTGTTTCTAGGGAGTGCACCAAGGGAGTGCATGAGGGAAGGCTGGGATCATCTGCCCCCTAAAAGGGCGATGACCACCCCCGTCCTACTATGGTGGGTCTGTATGGGGAAGATCTTGCTGACAAAGGGTGTGATAGACCCTCCACGATTCACCCAACATCCTTGAGGGGGAGAATCTCAGACTTGTGGCCGTGGCCAGAGGGATTCTAGGCCATCTAGTTCACCTTCTTTTATGGATGAAGAAACTGAGTTATAGAGGGGAGAAGTGACTTTTCAAGATCCTATAGTGAGGACATGTAGAGCTAAGCTTAGAATCAAGGTCTCCCAGAGGCCTGGTCGGCTGGTGGAGGACACACCTTCCTTGCCTGAGGACGCTTCTGGAGAAGATCTGGGGGTGAGGGGTGGAGTGTAGGAACGGAATTTCCACCAGATCTTTCCCATGGGATCTCAGACACTAGGATGGGGCCAAGGGCACTGCAGTCCCGGTTACCATATTTACCTGAGAGAGCTGGAGTTCAACCTGGCACCCTGGCCAGGGGCCTGTGATTGCCTTTTTCCTTTCCAGGAACGGAGGGCTGTCTCCGAACCACAGCCCCCTTCAGGCCTTGAGAGGTCCCTAGATGAAGGAGGAGCTGGCTGTGTATCTCCCCCGGCTCCCCAGACACTGTTGCCTCTTGGGGAGTGGGTGTTCAGGGCACAGGGAGTCCCATGGAGGTGGCTGCGATGGGGGAGGCCGGGGTGGCCAGTGTGAACCTGGGTGGAAGGAGGGGAGGCCCTGGGAAGCAGGGCCTCCTGTTCCAGGGGCTGGGCTGGGTGTGCACCTGGCTACCTGCTGGCAACCGGCTCCATGCCACCAACCTTGGGCTGGGGGCAGGGAGGGGAATTACTGTAAGTGGGAGAGGCAGGTGTCCCTGGTCAGCCAGGGATCTGGACTCGGGAGGCACGTGAGTGAAGACAGCAGCGGGCCAGATGGCTTCCCTCAACCTGGCCCCCACCTCTACCGTCAGCTCAGACCGCCTCCTGAGTGCCCAGCCTTCCCCTCTGGGTACAGAGCGGCCCCCGTGGGCAGAATTCCGTGTGTTCAGCTCGTTGTCTGGGTGATGGTGGTGACTGGGTGGAACTCTCATGCCATATCCACTGCCAAGGCCACCCCGAGGGGCTGCCAACCGGGGCCCCATGAGTGCTAGAGCTATTGGTCTTGTGACGTGGGCACCTGTCTGCCAGGCCCGGGCACGAGCCCAGGGTCACGCTCACGCCGGGGCTACCGTCAGCTGACTATTTTGGGCTCTTGCTGACCTGGGCCAAAGTCAGGCCTCAGCCAAGAGGGCCCCGAGGCAGCTCCCTCTGTCCCCAGAGGCCGGCTCTGGTTTCGGCTATATAAACAGAGGAGGGCATGCTGGCTTGGAGACAGCTCCATGTCCTAAGTCCGCTCAGCTGGTGCACAGCCTTGGCCGGGCAGGCCGGGCTGACAGGGCAGTCCTGTCTCTTTCCACAGGGCTCCCTGAGGCTGCCAGGAAGAGCCCCTGACCAACCACAGGATACTCGCCTGGTGCGGTTGTCCAGGATCTCTGAGAGTCTAAGCAGATCGTGAAGAGACAGCTGGTGAGTCTTAGGGATGGGGAAACTGAGGCATGGGGGCTGGGCTGTTTGGATCTTTTTCCACTGTGACCATCTGTGTTGTGGTTTCTTTGGCCTTGAGAGGAGGGGGGCAGAGGAGGAAACGGGTGGCTGACCTTCCCGAGGAGTGAGAGTAAAGCTTGACCTGAGTTGGGTGGTGGTGGGAGTCACATTTGGGAGCATGCCGTGATCAAGAGCTGGGAGACGTGGGAAGAGACAGGTGCTGCCATCTCTCTCCTTCCTTGGAGATTTCCACCACGCTCTGGGGCCTCCTCTTCTGTGACCCAGCCTGGATGAGGCACTGGTCGGCTCGGGCTGGGGAGGGACGCTGGAGTGAGCTGGGTGGCCATCGGGGGACCTCTGCATTGGTCCCTGAGGAGGGTCCCTGAGCCCCCCAGCTGGTTGGGACTCGGGGACTTGGCTTCCCTGAGCCCTCAGCCCCTGCCCTGCTCTCCTTGCCTGGCTTCCCAGCTGGTCGTGGTGTCTGCGAAGCAGGGCTGGAGCGAGGTCTGGCAAGTCTGCCAACCATCTTGCCACAAACACGCTCCCCGGGCCCCGGGCCAGGAGCTGCAGCCCAGCATGGAATAAGTGGCAGCCCCTTGCGTGGGAGGCTCTTGTGCTCTCCTTCTCAGTTCTCAAAAAAAAATTTTTTCCCCTTTCTGAACGTGAGTCTCTAAATGAATCCAGAGCCTGTGACTAAAAATACTTTAACAATAGGAAAATGCATCAGTCTTTCCGGCTGGGGCTCGTTATCAGAGGGTTTTTATTTTGGAATTTGAAATTTTGCCCAAGGAGGCTGGGTGGAGACCTTGGGCAGGGGCAGGAGAATTTGGTGGGTGGTGATGTTCTGCAAGGTGGTGGGAGGCCCTCCAAGGGTGGAGGAGAGGAGCTGGCCAGGAGCTGAGCAGACTGGGGGGCATGGAAGGAGGTTCGAGGAGGGTGCAAACAAGGCATAGACCGACCTTTCCCAAAGGCACTCCATGATCTTGTCTGCGTTTTTTCAGCGCCGTCTGGCTCTTCTTCCCGAAGTCTGATCTTATTCTTTTGTGCTGTCTGTGAATGCCTCCTAGCCTGAGAGGGAGGTGAAGGTCGAGAAATCCCTGGACTAAAGACAGCCTCTGTGGAGAGAGGCCTGGCCTCCTTAACTCACAAGCTTTCTCCAGAGTATTAATTGAGCACTTGCTGCATACAGAGTCTGGAATTTTCCCAGTGCTGGGTGGAACCACATCTCTGGGCACACTCTCATTTCCTTCCACTCAGCCATGGAGGGGGAAGAGGTGGGGATGGGGTTACTGTTCTCCAGTTCTTGAAGAAGGGGGTGCTGGCTCCCCAGTCTAGCTGAAGACCCTGGTATCTCCTTTCCCAGCCTGCCCTCCCTGCCCCAGGATCCTGCTGCAGGTCCCTAGAGTTCAGCTTCCCAGGCAGGGTTCCATTTCACTGGTAAGCCTCCCCCTTCCCTAACCAGTTGAATTCTCACAGCCCTGGGAGTGTGATGTTGTCTGCACTGGGCAGATGAGGAACAGTCTGGGAGAGGGCAAGGGACTGGCCCCAGGGCACACACCAGGCTTGCTGGCTCCTGGTCAGAGATGGCTCTGGGAGCTCCTCCATCTTTTGTCCCTACTGGGGTTGGGGTGAGAGGCAGGGGGCAGTGGCTTACCTGCCCACATCCTTGGGAGTCTGTTGTCAAGGAGGTAACAGCATGTGTGGTCGTGGCAGGGCCTGGGCAAGGGCCAGGAGATCAGAGTCAGAGGCCTGGGCCCGACCCTGCATCCCCAATTGCCAGAGCTGTCCATGGGAAGCCCCCCAGGTAGTAGGTACTGCTTCCTTGCCCACAGCACAAATCCCCCTACCCACTGCCAAGGCAGGAAGAGGAAGTGGCCAGGTCAGGGCTGGCGATAGGTCCTGGGGCCGAGGAGGGGAAGCTCCCGTGGCCACTTCTCAGCAGGAGGAGGCAAAGCTCACTCCTTCTGCCCACCACGCGGGAAGGGCGTGGAGGCCTGTGGGTGGGGATGGTCTTGGTGAAAGTAGGGCAAGTTCCTGCCCTCTGTTAGGGGGTGTGGAGGGTGGCGCTGCCCAAGGTGGAGGCAAGTGTGGGAAAGGGGCTGTGCATTTCCACTTCCTCCATCCCCCATTTACCCAAATGAACGATGGTGGACATTGGCTGCCCATTTGGGGCCTGCCCTGGGCTAGTTACTATTGAAGATGCATGAAGGCCCCCCTGCCGAGGCTGGGGAGACAGGACCTTGCCCTCATGTTCACACATAGCTGGAGGAAGGATGAGTCAGCGCATAAGTCCCCGGGCCCATAAGGTCTGACTTGGAGGGGCAAAGGCCTAGTGAGTGCTTCAGAAAGCATCCTGTGTGAAGACCCCTTTCTAATGGGAGATATGGCAGCCTCTCCTAACCGTAGCTGTGCCCTGCGTGTGTCGATAGAACAAAGACATAATGGGAAACAGGCACTGTTCTCCGATTTCAGCAACACACACTCGAATGAATCTGTACTCGATGAATTCCAGCAGCATCTGCGTCCATGTGAATAAGTAAGTCTCGCCCGTTTAGGCGTGGCTATTTTTTAAATAAACTTTTGTTTTTGAAAATATACATACAGAAAAGTGCACAAATCTAGGTGTGAAATCTTAAGAGTAGAGTGTGCTGATTTTTCCAGGGTGAACACACCTGGCTGCTGATCGTTGTCCAGGTTGGAAACTGGACTGCTTCCAGTCCCACCAAAGACCCCCTCATAGGCACTGCTGTTTTCAGTTTATAGGCTCTGTGTGTGTGTGTGTGTGTGTGCGCGCGCGTGCGTGCCCGTGTCCGCGCGTGTGCGCTTACGCACACCTGGTTCTGTGGTGCACTTAGAAGCCCCAGTCTGCAGCCCACAGTGGGGGCCGTGGGTCCAGCACAGACCTGAGAGTTAGGGGACCTGCATTTGAGTCCTGCCCCTGAGCCTCCATCTCCTCGTTTATGGGTCACAGTTCTAAACCTGGAAGGTTGAGGGGAGAGTTGAGTGGAAGAATCCATGCGAAATGCTGTGGACTGAGGTCTGACCCTTGATTGGTGTTCCCCATAACTCCCCTCACCTGTGAGAAGGCTGGGGGAAGGGTATGGCTTGAAGCCTTGGAGGATGGGCAGGATTAGAGCAGAAGGGAGGAAGAGGGGTCACTCTGCCCACCGAATGGTGGGAAGTTTCATCCAAGGTCCTTTTATGGGAGCAGCGGGGAGCTGGGGGTAATGAGGGCAGGTTGGTGCACTGGGCCAGGCTGTGCTGTGGGAGCCTGGTGTGGACTGTCGTCTCATCTCCAGCGCGACATCTCACCCTGTGCTTCTTGTGTTATCATGGTCCTGCCTTACCTTCTGGTCCTTGCCTCTAGTTTTGGATCTCTCTCCCACTATTACCTCCTTCATCATTACCTGTCCCCTCCCACCCCACACCTCCCCCCACAAGGGGCTGTTCACTCTGACCTTGCTCTTGAGGGCTGGACTTGGAGATCCCTTGGGAGCCTGGGACCAGCTTACGCTCCAGGCCTCCCACGGTCTGCATTAATTGTGCCTTTCCCCAGAGTTCCACCTTAGCCAGATTCCACTCTTCTCAGAGCCCCAGGACACCTTGGAGGGCCTCTGGCCAGCAGGGATGAGACCCTGGGTCCCAAAGACCCTCATGCCTCTCTCCCCTCTGCCTTAAGGTAGGTGCTCCACATGGGTGCCTGAATGGGTGGCCCTGGCTGTGCTCCCACAGAGGGGCTCTGCCTTTTTCTCCTTATTTATTTTCAGAGCGCAGTGTCTACAGACCCTGCAGCATCCCTGCCTCCACAAACATGGCCAGGTGGCCGCTGTGGTTGCCTTCCCCTCCCTCTGCCTTTGGGGCAGTGAGAAGGCAGCCTCCAAAGCTTCAGTATCCTGGCGAGGTGGGGCCGGGGCTGTAGGCTCACACCTGGAGGCTAATGCTGAGATTTGGAGATGTAGGCCAGGGCCTTGGGCAGCTGCTCACCACACTTAGTTCCCTGGGGCTCCTGGGTGGGCTGGCCTGTGGGAAGGTAGGGAAGGTCTTTGTTGCTTTTTACAAATGGACAGGGGTGGGGAGGACAGGGGCACTAGGGCTCAAGGCTGGCTCAGCTCTCAAAGAACTGGTAAGACTGGGCTTGAGCACAGATGGATCAAGCTGCAGCTAATACACCTGTTAGGCTGATGCAGGATGGAGGGAGCATTGACTTGGCTAATCATATTTTTCTAACATTAATTTTTTTTTTTTTTTTGAGGAAAGCCCTACTGGGGTGGAGGGAGGCATTCCAGAGTGGGGTGACGGGCTAGGTGGGAAGCCAACTCATGATGTGGCTGGGGCCAGCTTCACCAGCCCAAACTTGCCGTGTACTTCTGAGCAAGGTGCAGCTCCTCTGGGAACCCTTGGGTCCTAATCTGCAAAATGGGAGGATGTGAATGATATTAGCAGTTTTATCTTTTTTATTATTTTTTCTTTAAATACCTACTTTTTTTAAAGATTTATTTATTTATTTTAGAGAGAGAGAGGAAGCATGAGCAGGGGGAGGGGGAGGGGCAGAGGAGAGGGGGAGAAAGAGAAGCAGATCCCCACCGAATTTGGAGCCTGCCACGGGGCTCCATCTCATGACCCTGAGATCACGACCTGAGCTGAAATCAAGAGTCAGACGCTTAACCGACTGAGCCACCCAAGTGCTCCCTGTTAGCAGTTTTAAAGCCTTTTTGGTGTTTTTTTTTTCTTCTTTCTTTCTTTTCTTTCTTTCTTGCTTGCTTTCTTTGTTTCTTTCTTTCTTTCTCTCTTTCTTTTCTTTCCTTTCTTTCTTCTCTTTTCCAAGCAGAATCTATGCAAAAGCCCAACACAAAGCAAAACAAAACTTCGGTGTGAAGTGGAGTGGGGATCTTGGACAGGTCCCATTGTATTATTCTGCCCACGCTTCACCTTCAGCCAGGTGGCCTTGAAGGGTGTTTGGAAGATGGTTTGGGAAAAACCAGAACTCTCCAAAGACCGGTCCACGTTGAGATTGTATGCTGAAGTGGGGGTGCTATGGCAGGTTCTGGCCAGATCACCGAATGAGATTGGGGTTGCATGAAGACTACTCCACTGGTGGCAGCAGGGGGATTTGGAAAGAGGAGACAAGCTGGTTGAGGGGCAGTTTCCTTATTGGGTGTGGGCAAGGAGACGTGGAGGTCACTGGCCTCACTCAGCTGGTCTGCTGTCTTCATGCACCAGTAAGGCGTGGGCTGTGGTTGGCAGTAGGAACGGGGATCCAAGAGATGTTCCAAAATAGAATTTCAAGAAAAAAAAAATGAGAAGTTGCTTGTGGGGCATCAGGGGCAGAGATGGGGCAGGGAGTACAGCGATGACAAGCTCTCTGCAACGGATGAAGTTTGAGATGCTGGCAGGACCTTTGAGTGGGCAGAAGTGAGGGCTGGAGACAAGGGTGTGGGAGACCTGAGATGGGAGGTGAGAGTGGAAGTGAGGAACAGGAAGTGCCTCAGGGGTAGGGGGAAGTGCTGTCGGGTGACCAGATTAGGTGAGAGTGGGGCCACCACCGCAGGCGCAGTGGAAGCAGAAAGTCTTCAAGTTGACTTACTGGGGAGAAGGGGGCTGGGTGGGACGGTCTCTTCTCCTTGTAAACATTAGCATCACTTCCCCTCTCTCTTACCTAACAAGTGCGGGCTCCCCAGGTTTGGGGTAGAATGGGGGTGGAGGGGTGACAGCCAGATCAGGGAAGGTTCTAGGTGGGCTGCAGCGTGGTCTGTGCCCTGATACAGCCCTGGCCGCCCCTTCTTGCTCCATGGCACAGGTCAGAGCTGCTCTCTCCACAGGTGCTGGAAGTGAGGTAGGAGTCATGGACAGGGGAGGGCGTGAGAAAATCCCCTACAGATGCAGTCAGAGGTCCCGGCTTCCACCCCAGTGGGCCACCACCTCGCTGTGTGACCTTGAGCAAGTGCCATTATTTCTCTGAGCTTGTTTATTTATAAAATGGGGAAGAGTCGGCACAAATTTGACAATATTTCTCAGGCTCCACCCGGTTCTGAAATTCGGTAATTTCCCAACTATAGTGCACCCACCCTGTAAGGGACTGGGAAGAAATCAAGTTCAGCGTGTGGAGCGGAGCCCATTGGCCCATCTTGGGCCTGGCAAACCCCTGCCTTGGGAAGGTACTTTGCATTGGGAGAGTAGGGGGCGGAAACGACGGGGGTGGTGGTGGGGGGCTCTGACGTTCCTGGGCCAGTCTCTCAGCCAGTGACCCTGCTGGGGAAGACGGGTCAAGTGCAGTGGCTGCGCCTTGGGCTGAGGTGGGGGTGCAGGCTGTCCGGGGTGTGTCCCAGAGTTGCCCGCCCCGGCCCGAGCGGCAGCCCAGCAGCAGCAGAGGGCGACCCCCCAGGGCTCCAGGAAGGGCTGGGAGAGTGCAAAGGCGGAGCCGGGCGCGGAGGGAGCCGGAGGGAGCGGGCGCGGTCGTGGCTCCCCAGAGCAGCGGGAGGCTGCAGAGATCCGAGTCCGGGGAAGCCCCGCGGCCGCGGCTCTGGAGCGCCCCCTTCTCGGACTCTGGCCCTCCAGGCCGGTTGTTTCGGCCCCGGGGGGCCCCGGGCCGGGTCCTGGGTCCGGCAGGGGGGGGGGGAACCTCGGGAGTCCGGGAGCTGCTATTTTTAGCCGGCGCGGCGGGCGCGAGGGAACTATTTATAGATCAAACAATCCGCGCTCCCTGCGTCAATGGAACCCCGCGTGCGTCACGCGCACAGACATTCCAGGCCCCCTCTCGCCCCGCCCCCTCGGGCTCCCCGTCCCGCGCCTCCCCCTGGCCGCCTCCCGCCGGAACCGCGCCGCCCCCCGCGCCCTTGTATGGCCAAAGCTCGCCGGGCCGCGTGCGTCAGTGGCGCCCCCGCCCCTCCCCGTGCGTCACGGAGCGCTTAAGAGGAGGGTCGGGCTGGGCTAGGGAGCCCCAGTAGAAGAGGCTGCGGAACTTGGGGGAGTGTGTGCAGGACCGGGGGAGCGCACGCGGGACCAGACTGCGACTCGGGGTGCCGGTCCCGGGCAGGGGGAGCAGGAGCCGGCCAGGTAGGTGCCCCCCCCGGGGGGGGCGTGCATTTCAGCAGCGCTCTCTGGTTTCTAGGAGTGTTGCATGAAGGAGATGGGCGTACGCGCGGGCAGAAAGGATGTTGTAGGGTCAGCGTGCAGGAGAGCGGGTGTAGGGTGCAGCTCTGGCGTCAGAGGAGAGCTGTTGGAGCGGGATGAGGAGCCTGATCGGACTTGAATCTACTGGGCGCGGGGGGTGGGGTGGGGGGGGGTCTGTGCAAGGTGGAAGCCGCAGGGGGTTAGAGTTGGCACCAGGAGTGGGGACTTGTTCAGTAGGAGGCTGGCTGTAGTTGACTTTCCAAGGGTACCCGATTGGCACAGGGCGCCCCGGACTGAGGTGCTGATGGGGTCTCAGTACAGCGGGGGAAAAGATAACACAGAACTTTAACTGCTAGGATCCATCGGACTCCTGCCAGGATTGGATTTCCAAAAGGGTCTTCTTCCTCCCGGCATGTCCGCCTCCTCCCCCATTCCCTTAGTTGTTTTCTTAACACTTTAGAGGCTGTGGCTTAGGTTGCAGGGATCCCCGAAGTTGCTGCCTGAACTGTATCAGGAGACTTCTGGATTGCTGAAGGAAAGGGCCAGCATTGGTGGCTGAACTGTGGAGGGGTACTGCTTGTGTTTCACTAAACGAGTCTTCTTAGGGGCGGGGTCTCTGGAAGCACAGGGAAGATTGTTTTAGCTGTAGCTTGGATCCTGTGTTTGTGTGTGAGAGAGAGAGAGAAAGAGAGAGAGAGAGAAATGAGATGTAGAAATCTTGGTCCTTGGAGATCCTGGGTGGGAGTTGCTAATGTTGGAGTCTCTGGTGTACTACCTGAAGGATACTCCCTCACACTGTCCCAGCCCCACGTGCTGATCACATCTGTGTCCCCCTCCCCCCAGTCCCTGTTGGCTCATACAGGTGGGGTGCAGCCTGAAGCTTGTTCAGCATAACAGGTGCAAACCACCTTGTTGCCAGGACCTGCCTGAAGCCGGATTCTCCCTGCTCCCTCCTTCAACCCCGCCTCTTCCTCCTCCCTGTGGGACTGCTTCTCCCCCACCCCCCTTGACGTTAGATGTAGGTCCGTATCTGGTGTACCTGCGCGGAGGTGGGGGGGGGGCGGATAGGCTGGTGGGGGTTGATCCGGATGTGGGACGTCCAAGTGGAGAAACAGGATTTGAATAAAGCTGGAACACCCAGCCTTATTCCAGGTGGCTGCCACCTCTCCTCCACCCCAAACCCATCCCTGCCTAGGCTGTCTTCGTGCAGGGAGACGTGGCGACTCTTACCTCTTGCAGGTGCGCTCTATCCCGGGTGGGTGGTGCCAGCGCTTCGAGGGGCTCCATGGCCTGGGTTGGTTGTGGGAGTGTCAGGCCAGGGGTGGAGCTGCCCTGTCCAGTGTCCATGGAGGTGGGAGGAAGGCTAGAACCAGAGGACTCCCTGGGCTCTTGGCCAGGAGGTGGTACCAGCCTTTGCCCCCTCTCTCTGCTCCCTGGATTATGGCGCTCTCTGTTCCAGCTTGCTTCCTTACCCAGCCTCCCTCCCTGACTGGGAGGGCCAGAGCTGTGCCGACCCCAGGCATGGATGTGGGATGGGGAACTGGCCCAGAGCCTCCTCTATGTTAGTTTTTGACCAGTCTGCAGACTTAAGGATCCCCCCTCAAATGGTGCTGTCTCTGCTCCTTCAGGCTTGTCATGATTGAGGGTATAACCAGCCCTCCGTGCCCGAGCTCCTGGATTCTTCAGGGCACAGATACTCCTCAGTGGAGGGACCCAGGCAAGGACAGGATGTCTTCCATCTGCCCACCAACAGGCTCCTTAAGTCTGCTGGACTCAGTTCTCTTATACAAATAATAAGGGGCAGTGCTTTGGGGGTAGCAGAGAAATTCTTCTTAGGGACTGTCCATTCTCCTGGAAGTCCAGGGGGGCCGTTCTCTCCTCCTTCTGGCCCCTATTCGGCCTCCCTCCAGCATACGGCCTTTAAAGGTCTGGAGACCAGTTACTTGATCCTCTGGGGAGCTGGGGACTGCTGAGGAGGCCCCGGCTCCCTTCCTTTTTGCTTTTGGGAGCATCCCAGGCAGCACCGAGTGGGTGCCCATCCCCAGATGGCAGGACTGGGGTGCGCGTGGGAGCTGCAGCCTTTGTTCAGTGTGTAGGGTGGGGGCAGGGATGAGGGACAGGCTCCTGGCCGCTTAGGCCTCTTGCTTGGGCAGCTGGGCCTTCACTCTCGGCTTCTCTTCCATTTTCAGGATGTCCATCCCAGGCACTGTGGGGGGAGGAGGAGAGGGGGTTTTGCAAGGGCTGGGCCACGCCTGGGAATATTCCCAGAGGGCCAGGTTGGAGAAAAAGCATATCTGCACCCAGAGAGTGGGCTAAGTAAGGCTTTGCCTGGCTGCCTCTCCCACCCACCCTTCTCCCAGCCCCCACCCACGCCTTACTCGGTGCGGGAGGGCAGGGGGCTGGAGGAACACAGCTTCCCCCTGTTTCAGCAGAGAAATGCTGGCTGGATGCCTTCCCTAGGGTTCCCAGGCTGACTGGGGTGTGGCTGGCCTTCCAACTGAGCCCACTCTTGCTGGGCCACTGCCCAGGGGCTTTGTGACATGGGGATTGAGATGGTACTCCGGCTGGGGACCGGGGTTTCTGGGCTCTGTAGTGGGCCATGGTGCTAACGCCTCAGTGTCCTGTGTCTGGCTGGGATTCCTGCCGCCTGGCTACTCAGGGACCTAGACTTAGAGGTCAAGGCTGCAGGCTTCTCTCACTGACTCTTACTCCCCCAATCTTGGTCTCCTCCCTCTTCAGAGATGCCCTGTATCCAAGCCCAATATGGGACACCAGCACCGAGCCCAGGACCCCGAGACCACCTGGCAAGCGACCCCCTGACCCCTGAGCTCAGCAAGCCCACCATGGACCTGGCTAGCCCCGAGGCAGCCCCCACGGCCCCCACTGCCCTGCCCAGCTTCAGCACCTTCATGGATGGCTACACAGGGGAGTTTGACACCTTCCTCTACCAGCTGCCAGGAACAGCGCAGCCGTGCTCCTCGGCCTCCTCTTCAGCCTCCTCCACATCCTCCTCCTCGGCCACCTCCCCTGCCTCTGCTTCCTTCAAGTTTGAGGACTTCCAGGTGTACGGCTGCTATCCTGGCCCCCTGAGCGCTCCCCTGGATGAGACCCTCTCCTCCAGTGGCTCCGACTACTATGGCAGCCCCTGCTCAGCGCCGTCCCCATCCACGCCCAGCTTCCAGCCACCCCAGCTCTCTCCCTGGGATGGCTCCTTCGGCCCCTTCTCACCCAGCCAGACGTACGAAGGCCTGCGGGCATGGACAGAGCAACTGCCCAAGGCTTCCGGGCATGCCCATCCTCCGGCCTTCTTTTCCTTCAGCCCCCCTACTGGCCCCAGCCCCAGCCTTGCCCCAAGCCCCCTGAAGCTGTTCCCTTCACAGGCCACCTGCCAGCTGGGGGAGAGAGAAAGTTATTCCGTATCAACGGCTTTCCCAGGCCTGGCGCCCACTTCTCCACAACTTGATGGCCCAGGGATGCTGGATGCGCCCGTGCCATCGGCCAAGGCCCGCAGTGGGGCTCCGGGTGGAAGCGAGGGCCGCTGTGCTGTGTGTGGGGACAATGCTTCGTGCCAGCATTACGGGGTCCGCACCTGCGAGGGCTGTAAGGGCTTCTTCAAGGTACTGGGCTGCCCTGAGTGCGGCTTTTTATGGGAAGTGGGCAGGACTGGTCTCTTTTCCCAGCAGCGTCTCCGTGGTGGCCCCCCTGGGGTTCTCTTCCCAACTAGTCCTGCCCTTCAGGGAGGGGTTGCATCTGCAGGGGGGCCACCCTCCTGGGCACTCACAGATGGCAGAGGGCTGCCCGCAGAGGGGTGGTGAGATACGGGCGAGGGTGCGGGCTACAGGGGTGCCCCCGGGAGGGCACATGCTAATGGCCAGCCTCTGGTTTTCCTCTGCCCGTCCTCCCCAACTCAAGGTCCTGATGGGAAGGGGGCCCCAGGCACTCATGTTCCTGGCGTGAGATAAAAGGATCTGGGAAGAGGGCTTGGTGCTTGAGGGCTGGGGGCGGGCTGGGGAACAGGCTGTATGTTTGTCCCAGCTCTGGGTGCCTGCTCAGCTTCCCGTCCCCAACCCCCACCCCTCCTCTGCCCTCTCTCGTCTGTCCCAGGGAAGACACATTGAGAGGTGCAGGTATCTGCGCTGCCAGGGAGCCCCGAACCCCTGGCCCCTAATCTTGGGTCCTGGGGGGGATCTCCCTCTTTAGGCAGAAACCTCCCCCAATGTCCCCAAGATTTTCTTCTCCCCCCCACCCCCCGCCATCTCTCCCTCCCCTGCCACCCAAATGTTAGAAAAATAGCTGTGAACAGAGAGTGCTTTTGTCTGTGATGGCAGCAGGATCTGGACGGTCCCC